CGTTACAGTATTGTTTAAATCTCGTGTTTCTGTCTCGCGTTACATTCTTTTCTCGTGTAATTCCGTTACTGTATTGTTTAAATCTCGTGTTTCTGTCTCGCGTTACATTCTTTTCTCGTGTAATTCCGTTACAGTATTGTTTAAATCTCGTGTTTATGTCTCGCGTTACATTCTTTTCTCGTGTAATTCCGTTACAGTATTGTTTAAATTTCGTGTTTATGTCTCGCGTTACATTCTTTTCTCGTGTATTGTTTCATTTCAGATTGTCCTGCAGCAGTTTGTCATTATCTGATAGGCTAGAAACGTCGCCAATGTTAAGAGTAGTAACTGAAGTATGACTCTCACTGAATCTGGTGAAGAGTAGTAACTGAAGTATGACTCTCACTGAATCTGGTTAAAAGTCGTAACTGAAGTATGACTCTCACTGAATCTGGTTAAGAGTAGTAACTGAAGTATGTCTCTCACTGAATCTGGTTAAGAGTAGTAACTGAAGTATGAATCTCATTGAATCTGGTTAAGAGTGGTAATTGAAGTATGACTCTCACTGAATCTGGTTAAAAGTAGTAACTGAAGTATGACTCTCACTGAATCTGGTTAAGAGTAGTAACTGAAGTATGACTCTCACTGAATCTGGTTAAGAGTAGTAACTGAAGTATGACTCTCACTGAATCTGGTTAAGAGTAGTAACTGAAGTATGACTCTCACTGAATCTGGTTAAGAGTGGTAACTGAAGTATGACTCTCACTGAATCTGGTTAAGAGTAGTAACTGAAGTATGACCCTCACTGAATCTGGTTTAAGTAGTAACTGAAGTATGACTCTCATGAATCTGGTTTAAGTAGTAACTGAAGTATGACTCTCACTGAATGTCCCGTTCTTATTGTATCGTGGGCAGCTACTGCTAAGAAAGTTGGATCTATTAAATGTGTATCATATATTGTATGCAAATCACGTTGAGCGATCAGTATGATAAAACCAACATCAATATAAATATCGCGCGTCCGGAAAGTACCTCTGTCACAGCACGTGACCAAGCTGTCTTTCCTCAGTTTCAGACTGCTATCTTTATTTCTCATTTCCCACAGCAGGGAATGGCTCGATAAACTTTTACAGACAAGAACAGAGGACAAAAAGTTGACAGAACAATCAAGGCGGACAGGCAGTGGACACATTTGACGGGTTTATGTATTCGTTCGTGAGATTGGATAGATGATTCAGTTTTATGTCGGACTGATCAATGATATTGTAATGTCTTCTGAACATTAATATGCTTTGATTGTTCTCACAGGTTCTAAAGATTTTTTTTTATTATTTCAACTAGCGTTCCTTTATCTGATGTTTAACATTTCTGATGTCAACTTTAATCTGCTATAGAAAACACTGCAAGTGACTCTGGCCTGCAAAGTTTAAAACTTCTGGAAAATTTATTTATGTTGTGAAATACAATACACAACCCGTAGTATTTATGTAATGTACTCAGACAAATTAGTCACACGTAATACAATACACAACCCATAGTATTTTATGTAATGTACTCAGACAAATTAGTCACACGTAATACAATACACAACCCACAGTAAGTATGTAATAAACATAGACATATTGGTCATACTCAATACAATACACAGCCCATAGTAAGTATGTAATAAACACAGGCATATTGGTCACACTCAATACAATATACAACCCACAGTATGTATGTAATAAACTCAGACATATTGGTCACACTCAATACAATATACAACCCATAGTATGTACGTAATAAACTCAGTCATTTTGTCACACTCAATACAATACACAACCCATAGTATGTATGTAATAAACTCAGGGGTATTGGTCACACTCAATACAATACACAACCCATAGTATGTACGTAATAAACT